GCAGTGCATCCATCCCGAAAAAAGTCAAACCAATTAGAATCAAACCATAGCATTTTATGTTTCAAATGAAAAACTTTTCCAATTGTACAAAAAGTAATTGGAGAATAGATTGAATATTCAACAGGGAGTTTTTCAATTTTGAGTTGATAATTCAATTGTGTTAATTTAATTGAATTTAAATTTTCATTAAATCTGCTATTTTCAATTGAAATTCTATGGAATAAACCAATTAAATCAAGTCCAGCCTCTTTTATAGATTCTATCAAAACATTGGATATCACTAGATTGTCAAGTTTATTAAATGAACCAATTTGTAAACCAATTTGAGATGATGAGAAATAGGACTCTGTTACAAAGATTTCCTGTGCAGACATTAAACTTAGAGTAACTCCATTGAAGACACTATTCTTTATATAGCTTGTAGCGCCCTCTAAACTTACTATAGCTGCATTTAATTTTAAAGTTGAGCAGCTAAAGGTAATTATTACTTCTGCATTTGATTGGGAAACATTTTTACACTGAGCTAATTGTGTAACATTATAACAATCAAGTATCCATTCAGTTGTTAGAGCAGTGTTTGTTCTTACATATGGCCTTGATTCTGTAATTCAGGCAGTTTAATACTTATGATTGATTGATTGATTGATTGAAATATATTATCCCATTGTATACTTGCCTGGATCTATGAGTTGATTGAAATGTTGACAAACCATTTTATTTAAATGAAAAAGTTGTTGATTACTAATTGCTGTTGCTGTTAAATTGAATTTAACATTTCTCAATTCATCATTCTCGGAAATTTTTAAGTTGCCATTAGAATCTAGAATATACTTTGTTTTTTCCTGTTTCACAGTACTAAAATAAACCATTTCTGCATTGGAATTATCAATGAAAAGAGATCCAGTTATTATTAATTGTTTTCCAGCATTAAACATCATTAAGGTATTGTGACGTAATATTGTTAAATCTCCATTAATTACTGTTGTATCTTTAATGAGAATATTGCCACTCAACTCTTGATTTCCATTAAGATATCCACAAAGAATATTGGAATTTTTTTCTTCTTCTTCAAAATACTTAAGAGTTGTCAATTCTGGATCCGAATAGCTTGGAGATAATAAAACTTTTACCAATAGACCATTTTCATTTCTATCATATAGTTTTGTATAAGGATTTTTGGTGTTGATATAATTATAAGTCATATTCAATTGACAATTATGATCAGCATTGTTTGTTCCACAAAGAAAATTGCATTCAATCTCATAAATACTCATTTCATTATCAATAATATTCCTTGATATCAATGGAAATATTTCTCCTCCCAGTTTAAATGTAGAATGGACAATATTATTTAAAAAATGATTATCAATGATATGATGATATGTATCAACAGAATGGAGAAATCTAAATTGCACTACTGCACCATATATTTGACAATTTTGAACTAGATTATTAGTAAAATTAAGATTTGAATTACCAACAACAATTTCAAAAGCATTCATTGCAGTAGAATTTTGAATAATATTATTTTTTACACTCACTGTTCCAATTTGATTTTTCAGATATCTCAGCTGATCATTAATTCTTATAAAACTCCTTATTGCTGAACAATTAATGAATTGATTATTATTCAAAATTAATTGCAAATGCAAATTATTAACAGTCAAAAATGACCAAAGATTTATATTCAAAAATTTATTATCAGTAAATAAATGATAATTTAAAGAGATATCTTGAGATCTGAATACGTTAGATATTGCAATTAACTCAGATCTTGAAGATGTTAATGTATCATAATTGCCATTTATGAATGTATTATTTCTGATAACCAAATACGAATGTAGGTCACTAGGCTCATAAAACCTTAGGAATCTTGTAGATATATTAATTATTTTATTACATTCAATTAGATAACTTCCTCTTTTTATATCGCTTGTATAAATGTTCATAAAATGATTATATCCATTATAATGAGTATTAAACTCATTATTTCTTATCTCAGTAAAATAGATATCACTAATTGATAGGGTTATTTTAGACAAATAATTATTCTCAATTTTTAAATGAGTTCCAATCCCAGATATTTGCAGGTGATGTTTCTGAGTTATAAAAATATTTAATAATTAATATAAAAAACCCAAAAAAAAAAAGAAAACATACTTCTAAAAATGTATTATTCACAATTTCAGCTCTTGTTGATATCTTGAGAAGACCAGTATTGTATATAGACGAATATTGTGAACTCTTTGAATAAAATGTATTATTTCGTATTGAAATTTTATAATTTGTTGGTGCTGACTGAGAAGATGTTATTTGTATTCTGGATTCTTCAAAGTAACTGGATTCAATTGTAAATGTTCTAAATAGCATTTTGACATTGATGAAGCAATTCCTCAATCTCATATTGTCTAACTTAAAGTTTTGAGAAGAGTACAATGCTATAGGAGTACCCTGATCAAAAGATGAATGAAGATTAGAAATTATGCTGATGTCTTTATCTAAATTAGAGATGATGAAGAAACACAATGTTTACAAGAGTAGTATTCATAAATATATATTAAATAATGGCAAACCTTGCCAAATTGAATTGATTCTCAAGGTCGAGTATGTTTGCGTTATTGTACATTGAAGTGTAACATTTCGACTATGAGATATAAATGATTTACATGATGATCTCATATTGCGAAAAAGTAATTCATTTCCATCATAAATTTTGCATTCAGTTTCCGAATTGAAGCAAAGATATCGAATATCCAAAACTTCATTTTCTCGAGCAATAAACGTCTTGAAAAATATTTTTTTTTATAGTTTTATTATTTTAAGAAAAAAATCTATTCAAAACTTTTTCATACTTTACTTATCTGCTTTGTAGTATATGACCTTGAATGGATTGGATATGAGAGAACAGTGTCATTGCAAATATTGCATGTTAAATCTTCTATATATACATCTGAGTATATCAATGATGAAGGTGGCTCTTCAACTCTTATGATAGAAATCTTATTATCTGTTATATGAGATAAGATAATTTGTTATCTATTTATTTAGGTAATTCATACTTTCTGTTTTTATATTGTTAATCATAAATCTATTTTTGGATTGAATATAAACACCCTGCCAATTATTTTCCAGTGTAATTGAATTTAGATTGTAATTATATGACTTTTTATCATTTATCATTGTAACAGCATCTCTAGATGTTGAATTTCGAATTTGTATATTACTGTATAAGAAAAAAAACAAAAAAACCCCAATAACCTATATTTTCGCTCACTAAATTGATAATACATACCTAAATAGGTCAATATTTGAATCTTCAAAGATGAATGCTGCCTTTTCACTTTCTACATTCGATATAGCCACATTATTTGAATTTCTTACCAGAATTCCGTTGTTTAATCCATCGTTAATTGGCTGGAAATTTAATACGATAAGACTCTTAACTTGAGCATTTGCTGTTGAGATTGATGGATTTAATTGATTGTTTGATTCATTCAATTAAATAAAATTTTACTTATATATCTCCTACAATTCCTGATATCAACTGTACTGGTAGAACATTGAATTTCTTGGCAAGTTCCTATTGCATTTGAATGATACGCAATGAGAGATTTAACTCCAAGAGCATTCTTTACAAGCTAAGAAAACAAAAATGAAAATTAAATTGTAATCTTTCCAGCATTTTTAGTTATTAGTAATGGAATATTACTTGTATTACTCTTTGTCTTAAGCTCAAAGTATGGCATAGAAGTAGGTATTCATCATTAACTTTGAATTTTAACCGAAAAACCTCTGATTTTAAATATTTTGTTAAGAAATAAAAAACAATGTTAACTTTTTACTTACTGTTTCCAGAAAAATCAAAAATAAAATCATCTTTTATTGGTGTTTCTTCAACATTCATACGAATTTGTTGATTTTCTAATCCATTCATTTTCACATCGCCATTTTCTATTATAATTTTATTGAATTGAGAAGAAAATGTAATATGTGCTCCTGGTTCAACAGTCAGTGATGATGGTTTTACAATAGCACCTGTAATTCTATGATATCCTGAAGGAATAGTCAAAGCTTTACCATTAAATGTTTCATCATAATCCAGGCAACTTGTCAACTGTATAGTCATTAATAAAATGATAACAGAAGAGTAAAATGATGCCATGTTAAATTTTAAATTCAACTGTAATCGGTTAGTGTTTGTTTCGTGATTGATTATAGTGCTACATATAGGAATTCCACTTTAAAGAAGAAGGAAGAAAATTACTATTCAAGTTACAATAAGTTTTTCTAGTTGTCAAGGTGTCTGTTATACTTGGGATTATATTATTCAATATATTCAGCATTTAACAATAACTAAAAGAAAATCCAATAAAACATAATTAAAGAGACTTTAATATTGATTTAGTGCTTCAGTCTATCTTTATTTTTATTTAAAAAAATCAAAATGTAGCTCAGTGAAATAGCAACTTAATGTAAGTTTGGCACATTGCCAAACCTAGTTGTTATGACCATCGACTACACTGGTCAAGGGGACAGAAAGAGATTTGCTTGAATGATTAGGGACGATATCTCTAGTATCCCTTTCTGCTGACAGAATGCCCATTGAACCCAAAAGCCAATCGTGAAAAAATGACAAAAGTAAGATAATACCAAATAAATATTTAGTAGAAGATAGGTACAAACCTTGAAGAAGGCTGATTATTTTTTTAAAATTGCTAGGTTTCAGACTCAATGTTCTGCTGACATAGTATTTCAACAAAACTGTCTGACTACTATTTGCCATTTAATAATAGATTTTCCTTCTCACCTTTTTGCAGATAATGTTTGAAACATTCAAGACCAACTTTATGTATGTAAGGCAACCAATCTGTTCTTTCCTTGTATGCTTCAGGGAAAACAAGTGGCATAAATTTGGATTCTGGCTATGGTGTTTCTCATGTTGTTCCAGTCTGGGAAGGGTAGGCCCTTCAACATGCCATTTTACGTCTTGATGTTGCTGGTATGGATTTGACTGGCTACTTAACGAAAATTCTTGCTGAAAGGGGTTACTCTTCAGCTGAGAGAGAAACTGTAAATGACCTTAAAGAAAAATTAGGCTTTGTATCAATTGATTTTGATGAAGATATGCAAAGTGGTGCTAACTCTTCATCGATTGAAAAGACATACAAATTGCCTAATGGACAAGTAATGAAAATTGGAAATGAAAGATTTCGGTGTACCGAAACCCTATTCAAACCTTCCCTTCTAGGATTGAAAGCTTCTGGTATTCATGAAGCACTTCACAATTCCATAATGAAATGTGATGTTGACATTAGGTGATTTCTTTTTTCTATTTTTGAAAAAGCTTAATAAACAATTCATTTGGCTTTTATCTACAGAAAGACATTATATGATAACATTGAATTGAGTTGAGGTAGCACCATATGTTTGAAGGCATTTCTGAAAGAATCCATAAAGAAGTAACAGATTTAGCCGAAAGTTTAATGACTATTAAAGTCATTGCTCCGCCTGAAAGGAAACATACTGTATGGATTGGAGTTTCCAGTATTGCATCTTTGTCTACTTTCAAAGAAATGTGGATCAGTCGCAGTGATTATGACGAATGTGAGTCAACCATTGTACATAGAAAATGCTTATAAAGATTTTCAAAGTATCTTTATAATTTATTATATTGCTCTTCTTCAATAAATTCTTTTGGAAGTCTAAAATAGAACATTTATGGAAAAATGTACACAAATGTTATGAGATATGTAATAGTATTGTGTATACAATATTGCTTAGTAGTGAAAAAAGTCAAACATTTAGTACAAAAGCATAATTGACAGTTAACTGAGCTAATTTCAATTAGAGTTAATGAGTCTATACATCAATCAAGTGTAATATCAATAGGATAAATAAAGATTGAACACAAATATATGACAACTTAGAAATAGAGATAAGTTGTGGGAGGTGTTTAAAGAAGAATTTTAGGAAATTTTCCAGAAGGAAGTTCAACACTTAAATTTTTCCTACTCCCTATTCTTTATATATATATATCAGTTCAGTCTGTGTTGTTGTATTACTGTACAACTTATCCAGAAATACAATTATATTTGGCCAAACACAGACCTTGGCTGGCCATGCTTAAGGTTAGGCCAAGTTGTGATTGATTAGCTTGTCTAAGGTTTGGCCAAGCTATGATTTAATTAGTTTCTCCAAGTGTTCAACTTAGTAACATACTGTTTCTAAAGATAAATATAAGCTAGAGAGTTTGCCAACTGTAAAGTGGTGATTGGATACTAAAGACAAACCCTCAAGTATATAAATCCTCACTGTTTCATACCAACTATCCTACCTTAAACTGGATTGGAATTACAAGGATTTTCATTTCATTTTAAGCAATCCATCCTATAAAATATTTAAGTTTTAAAATCAGTTTGATCTCTAAATCTTTTAAAATATCACTGGTAGAGATAGATAGAATATACACTCAGTTTAAAAGAGTGCAAAGATTTTAATATTATAATCAACCATAGACATTTCAGACAAATTTCTTGTAGAAAATTTCAGAGAGAAAAGCAATCAAATATCAAATTTTGCAACAGCAAGGCAATTAGAAATTCTATCAAAATCTAAGATTTCAAGGTCGTGAGGGATCCTTTCTATCAACTGGTATCAATAGATGCATTTGTCAAAAATTAAAAAGCAAAGATGAAACAAGTACCATTAATCTTTCCTTTCTTAATTAATAATAATAGGATATATAAGAAAATCTTTCAAGTTCAGATATCTGCTTTTTAATGTTGAAAACAATTAATTGTTCTCCATTTTGAGATTATTTTAGAAATTTGGATGGATATAGACCACACAAAATGCTAATTGATTGTGAGAGATCTTTTTGAAAAGCTACTTATATTTTTGTAGTGGTTTTAACTGTGGTTTTAACCATCATTCTTGAACATCTGTCTTAATTAAATGGTTTTAAACAGTGGTTATAAGGTTACTTCAGGGATTGTCAAAAAGATTCAACATTATATACATTGTTATGTTCAAATACTAAAAGACTTTCACAATTAATTAAATGTGTTAAGTAGGATTTAACAACATGGCAAATGGATTATTTTCTGATATATGTGAAGGAATTGAAAAATCATCAAATACTTTAAAAAGCATTGAATTTTCTTTTTGTCGTTTAGGTGGCCTAGAATGTAATAAGTTGGGAGATTCACTTAAAAACTGCTCTAAGATAGAAACAGTAATTTTACAAGGCAATAAAACAATGGGAAATGGATTTTATAATATTTGTGAAGGACTTGAAAAATCATCAAACAATTTAGAGATTCTTGACTTTTCTGATTGTAATTTGAAAAGTGAACAAGCTAAAGTTTTGGGAAATCTTCTTAACAATTGTTCCAACGTAGAAAGAATAATTCTATGGAGAAATCAATTTATGGGAAATGGATTTTATGATATTTGTAAAGGACTTGAAAAGTCATCAAACACTTTAAATACTCTAGATTTACTTGGATGTAATTTAGAGAGAGCACAAATAAGACAATTAGGAAATCTTCTTAAAAATTGTTCTAATATAGAAACAATAAATTTATGGGGAAATACAATGTTGGAAAATGGATTTTATGATATTTGTGAAGGACTTGAAACATCCTCAAATACTTTAAATAGTCTTGATATGTCTGATTGTAATTTGAATAGAAAACAAGCTGAAAAGTTGGGGTGTTTGCTTAAAATGTGCTCAAAATTAGAAACAATAAATTTAAGTGGGAATACCAATATGGAACAAGGATTTTTGGAGATATGTATAGGACTTCAACAATCATCAAACACATTAGAGAGTCTTGACTTATCTTACTGTAATTTGAATAAAACACAAGCTGAAATGGTGGGAAATTTTCTTAAAATTTGCTCTAAAGTGAATAGTATAATTCTAAATGAAAATGAAAATATGGAGAATGGATTTTTTGACATATGTGAAGGACTTTTAAAATCGTCAGATATTTTACAAAATCTTGATTTTTCAAATTGTGATTTGAATAGAGAACAAGCTAAAAATTTGGGAAATCTTTTGAAAAATTGTTCTAAAATAGAGACACTAAGTTTAAGGCGGAATCAGAATATGAGAGATGGATTTTTCCATATTTGCGAGGGACTTGGAAAATCATCAGACAGTTTTAATAATTTTGATTTGAATGATTGCAATTTGAATACAGAACAAAGTGAAATGTTGGGAAATCTCTTTAAGAATTGCTGCAAAATCGAAATGGTTAATTTAGGTTTAAATTACTCAATGGGAAATGGATTTTATGTCATTTGCAATGAACTTAAAAAGTCATCCAACACTTTAAACAGTCTTGATATGTTTGGATGTGATTTGGATATTGCGCAATGTAAAATTTTGGGAAATCTACTTAAAAAGTGTTGTAAACTAGAAACAATAGTATTAGGTAAAAATGATATGATAGAAAATGGATTTTTTGTCATTTGTGAAGGACTTCAACAGTCATCACAATCTTTAAAAAATCTTGATTTTTTTAATTGTAATTTTGATATAATAGAAACAAAAAGATTAGGAAGTCTGTTAAAAAATTGCTTTAAACTAAAAACAATAACATTAGCTGGCAATCAGAATATGAAAAATGCTTTTTTTGATATTTGTGAAGGATTACAAAAGTCATCACATACTTTAAAGTGTCTTGACTTTTCTGATTGTAAATTGTCTACAGAACAAATTAAAAGACTGGAAATTTTAATTAAAAATTGTTTTATAATAGAAAGAATAATTTATGATGGTGTGTGACAAAAAAAACTGAATGTTACAAAAGACTTTTTGTGTATTGTAAGTAGGGGTGGTGGTAGTGATATGAATGTATGATAAGCATGAATGCTGAAGATTATATAATGCAAGAATGATTCAGGGACTCTTGCTCTGTAAACCATGATACACAAACTGATGTATGGAACACAAGTCTCTTAGTCTTGTTGGTGTCTCGATATGGGATCAAGTGAACTGGTCAACTGCTCAGAGGAACTTTGAGTGGTGTCTGATGGACTTGTATAAGAACACTAACAGACACTCTGATAAATAATTCATGTGTGCATTAAACCACAAGGACAAAACATATAAAGATGAATAACTACTGAAGGTTATACATATCTATGAAACAGAAAGATTGTTTAAGAATGATGCTCTCAAACATTGGGATAATAGCCATTGAACAGTGTTCGGAAATTTCTGTTTGCCCACAAGGATGAAGACAAGCCTGAAAACTGTAGCAAGACATTACGATTTTACTGTTAGGGTTACATCTAACGAGTAAACTCACCCACCACACTTTCTCTTACATGATCATAAACATTTGGTGAGGAACATGATACTTGAATTTCATGTCTAATATAGCATTGTACATAAGAACTGCAATTTTGACTCAAATGAACCCAATTTGGATTGTTATAGTAAATATTAGTTGCAAAAGATAAAACAATAAATAAAAAAGAGGAAACCTAGTTAAATATTTTTATACTATTCACTTGAAAACAATCATTACTTACCAAAAAATGTAAAACAGACTCCAATTGCTGTTTGACCAATAAAAAGCAAAAGCTTCTTTTTGATAAACTGCATATCTTAGAATGCTGGACAAAATGTTCCTTGAACAAATCTTTCCTTGAGTTAATTAAAAATGTCTTTGTATTATTTATGATTGTGAAAAATATTTAATAAGTATAGAAAATGTATTCAAAAAAAAATGAAATGCAAAGTCTAGTTATTAAAATAGAAAAAAAATTGAAGGATAATTAAAGTAAAATTAAGAGCCACAATATATGTTAGATATGTTATTCAATAGTTGTAATGCTGTTATTTAAGCAACATCAAATTCATCACAATATTTGAAAATATCACTTTCAATTCTCTTATAACATTTCTTTTGAAGCCTGCAGACTTTTCCATCACTCAAAAGTTTTTTGTACAGATTAATCAAACCTGACTCTCTTTTTAACTCATCTATCAATAAGTAGAAGGAGCCTTTAGCAGATATTCTATTCAACCTATTATGCCAACCTTTTAAGTCATTGTTAGTTCTAATTGTTTCTCTATACACTGACTAAGTACTTGGAACAAAGAAATCTCTAAAAATCCATTGCTTATCCACATAGTCAATTAGATTACTGAGGAATTTTTTCTCAGATGCTGTGTTTTCTCAGAATATCAAAGGTAGCAGGGATGAAATCAGTTTTTATGAATGGTTATGCCAGTATTTTCTTCATTATCAGATACTCATCTTCTTTCTTCTTATAAAGAGAACTATAACCTAGTTCTTGTA